CCATCTTTTTGTTCTAGTTTCTCGCGTGTCCCGGTGCTTTCCAGTATCGCCTAAACTTTAGTTCCTCTGGCATCTCGCCCCCCTCGACCTCATGGATTCTTTCATTGAGCTAATTCCGGATGCAGGTTGCTCGCAGTACGTGCCTGCCAGCTTCACGGAATTATTCACGATATCATGTAAGATGTAATCACGTAACGCAGCTACCGACGAAACGATTTCGTTCCCCCTGTTTTTCCCGTCTCCCGTTCCCTCGCTGCAAGGAAATTGCCTGCACCGCCGTTCGTAGAAATAAACTTCTTTGTTCTCTTATCTTTCCAACCTGTCCCCTCCCCATCGTTTCTGTCCATTTGCCGGGGATGCGCTAAAGAAATAAAATTCACCGGTTAATAGTGAATTGTTGCGAGTCTTGCCGTGAATTTGATATAAAACGTTCGAATATCTGTCTTCATACAACGTCCGACTGAATCGCTATTATAAAGCTACGCGAAGAATATAGAATATCTTTTCATTCTTGGCTTTTGTGAAAGTCAAGCTTGAAATCCTAATTAACCTTGTGGATTCGTAGAAGGATCGTTAACAGGTTCGTTGTGCTTAACATTAGAACTACCGAACAGTCAAATTGACTTTCTGAAATTTTTCTGTGGAAACTCCAACAGTACTATTGGGATTTCTATTGATTTACAATTCAGTTTGCCTATTGTTGAATCAATTTGTAGTAATTTCTCAGAGAATTATTTGTTATGTTTTCGATCATTGTTAAAGAAGCGGTGAGGAATGAGTCATTTTGACCTCTCTGGTAGTTCTAGTATTAAACTGACTTTTCCAAAGTTCTTTGTACAACCTTATAACTGTGTGTTTATTAAGATTTTAATTGGCTTATGTTTCAGTGGTATCATTGAATCAGCTTCTTTAACACTACACCTACCGTACCAGTCGAAATATCTAATTTCAGTTTTATCGTATCGCAATTATTATCTTCAAAGCATTGAATAGTTGAAATGATTTTGAAAATAAGTAGTTTCTCTTGATTACTATAATCAGTGGTTTGAAACTGAAAATGATCTGTCGTTACAATTTTTATAGGGATTACATGTTAATCGTATTAAATGCTCGGTAGTTTTAATATTAACGATTTCTCAGAGAAGCATTTATACCTTTCTGGGTACTATAAAAGAAATCAGGCATGGTAATTTTAATGTTAATTGAGCTTCATGCTTGTTTTATTACAGCGATTGTTTTATTACAATCGAATTGTTGTACAGACTGTTAATTGTAATCTACCATTATTGTGATAGTATAGAGGCAAGAAACTGTAAATTCAATTTGCTTGTGACATAACGCCGGAAGGCTTGAAATTGTGGACATGTTTTAGAACAAAGTTTACCACGGATAAATCTCTGTTGTACTTAGTTCAAGATGGATAATTCTAATCGCGCACTTGGTATTCTGCACTTGCGGCTACTAAGGCGCCGCCCTTTCACTTGACTGACTAACACTGGGTCGTTCTACTTGTCTGATCATCGATAGCAGACATTCTGCTCAATTGAACATGAACAATCCATTCGACTCGACTGGCGTGATCTGTTTATTCTCGTTTCACTTGCTCGATGATCGGTTATTTAATTACTTATATAACTAGATTGCAGATTCTGTGCATTTATCGGATTTGTACAAGTATCGAACGCTGAGACGAAGGAGTTTCAATGATGTTTGGAACAGTTTTTGTGTTTTTATTTTAACAATGGAGTCCATGGTATATGAAAAAAGTAAATTTCTTTATAAATAAATTCCTCCCTTCTTTCTTTCAAACCGTGTTTGATTTAATTATATTACTAGGTTAATTCATCTAATTAATAACGATTTTTATCTTCTTTGTATTCCGATAATTGGTAATACAACAATAAGTTTATATATATATATATAAATATATATAAAATATTGTTTTATGTATATATGTATATATAAACTGGTAACATTTTTTCATTGCTTTTAGTTATTTAAATATATACTAAATCTTCTGGTTGCATCATGTACGTTCATTGTTTTACTCGACGAAAATACTTTCTACTCCAACCACAGTTTCAGAGTATCTAAATTAAAGATTGTTTCCATTGTATTTCCTTTCCCTAGAAACAATATCCAGTTTAGATACTACAAGCGTCAATTCTGTTTCTCAAACTGTCTTTCACACTGAGCACGTGTATCGACTCTGACAGTAGCACTCAACACAAACTACAGATACTTATTCAAATTTAGAACCTACAGAATCTTGTCCTGCTCACTGAAATGAATTCGAAGCACATATTTTCCATTGAGAACTTTGACACGTGCTTGTACGCTGCGAATGCATAAAATCTGCGATCTATACGTGTCAAAGAAGTAACGCGTCTCACTCTGTTTATCCACTGAAAACTACCATAACCCTTCCTTCAAATCATAACCTATTATTTCACTATTTTAAAAGAAAATCCTTATACCTCTTCAATAACAAACAACTAAACATCCTACTTTAAACACTCACAATTAACAGGAAAGTTAAAGCCTGAATGCTCCATGATTCATATTCATGATTCATTATATATATATAAAATAGTATAGTAATATTTTAAACTATAAAATAGTTTATATTTAATATATTTCTAGGCAAAACTTTTCTGAGCATTTTCTGAAAAATTCAAGGGTCACCTATATAAAGTGCCTCTTGTATATATTTTCACATTTCCACTCAAAGATTTTCCACACATCCTGGAAACTCACCAATATAATATACCTCTAATACATTTCTACTTAAAGATTCTCCATACATTCTGAAAACTCATCTATATAATGTCTTCAATATATTTTCATTCAAAGATTTTCTCTTGCATCCTGAAACCTCACCTATATAATATACCTTTACTAGATTTCCACTCAAAGATTTTCCATGCATCCCGAAAACTCACCTGTATAATATGCCTCTAATACATTTCCACTCAAAGATTCTCCACACATCCCGAAAACTTCACGTTGTTCTGCGAGCAATAAACATGCTTTATCTCTGTAACGCGAGAACCGTTGTATGTACGGTCGCCTGCCGTTAATACGAATCGCGTGCAACAGCGTTCCCTCCGTGTCTTATCACGGGATCGGAAATCAATCGCTCACGCGCCGGTCCCATCCTTTACGGCGGAACGACCTTTACCCGAGTGTCGGTAACAAGAAGCATGCAATCAACGGTCCAGTGGCTCGGCTGATGCTTATTTCGTGCCCTTAGCCGGCTCGTTGGTTCCCGTTACCCATGGCTACGCAGGGCTGCGCCCTTACGTCGCGTCTTTGACGTTGCCTGTTCTCCTGCCGCCGGTTTTACGCGATTACACCGCATTAGACGCCGTTTACATGAACCCCGCGTGTGTGTCGGAGTTAACCAAAATGCCGGCGAAACAATCGGCAGCCAGTGGAACGGGGGACGCAAAGGCTGGCGAAGTTAGGGCTACGATGCCGTGGCAGGGAAACGCGCGTGATTAAATCAGAAATATATCTCGTCGTTGGTACGGTAATTAATCATCTCGAATACTAATTCTAGAGCACTGACTTTATGATACACAATTTTCTTAGGATTCGATATTGTGGGATGAAAATACAATTGACTACTTAGTGGAGAACGAATAAAAACAGTGTAGGTTTTATACTATTTTTATACTATTAAATATAATTAATATACTATTAAATATAATAGTATATTATTAAAGAAAATAGAAAACGAGTAAAAACATACACCACAGGTCAAAATGTTGGAATCACTTGCTGATTTCCGTCGTGATCGAATATACCGATTAACTTTGAAACGATCGTTTGTTATCACATAAGATGTTAACACGCTATATTATGATTTTAGATGTTTCAGCTAGTTCTTACGTCCATAACGCTCTTATATAGGTAGTACATCCAGTTCAAGGCAATGCTCGGAATGAACTTTCCTACTAAGGGAAAGATGTTCTGTTGTCGGTTTATGCAGGAACCGGTGATTCTTTCTCTAATAATTGAGCATTACATATAGGAAAGATAGAAAATTATAAACACTCGAGAAACTAATAACCAGGGTGTCCAGAATATGTCAAGGTATCATTAAAAGTAAAGGCGTCTTTTTTTATGAAAAGACAGTTTGAAGAAAAATATCCGTTCCTCGACAGAAAAGAATAATACAAACTATAAAACATGTTCCTTACAAGTTTTTGATGAAACCTTCCTTAGTTACTCTAAAGGTATTTTCTCTTAGAAATGTTCTGCTTCCCGAAATTTACGTGATTCTAAACTGTTGGTTGGCTGAATAATTAGGATTACTGTATATCTACATAATTTAGTAACGTTGCAGTTTGATTTACATGCAAAGTGACGGCTCCACGGAACGAAACACAAGTTGAAATTATTTAACGTTCGGAAATCTTGTTTCTGCGTGGATCAGAAAGATTTACTTCGGAGCTCGATAGGATGAACATTCGTCGACGCTGGGCAATCTTGGATTTGTAGAGTTAGGAACTTGGAGTCTGACGGAACCCTTTCAGCTGGAATCCGTACAATTACTAAAAACTTTGAACGGGAACCCGTACAATTGACGAGCAGTTGAACGAGAACTAGAGTGCCCGGTAATCCGTACGCGTGGCGGCGAACAAAGAAAGTCGAAGTTTACCGGCCGCCTACGTTTCGCCTATAACTGTATCAATATTAAGTGGTCTTTCATAACTACTGGAACTTCTCCTCGCCGACTTAATACGCTGTAACAATTGAGAAACGGGGACAATTCGGTGAAGTTTCTAGTTCGAGTTTGAAACGGCGGAATGTTTAATGCTACAGGAATCCGGCGGCTATGGTAATTTGCTCGGTCGAGGGCTTAAGAATTTCGCTGGTACTTTGGTGACCTCATGCTAGCTAGATGACGAACAATCATTGTCATTTCAACCGTTGCGATACCGTATTTTCTTCGTTTTCCTCTTTTAATCATACGTTTTTCCCATTAATTACAGCCAATACCGAGACCAGAGAAGGTGGACCACTTGGTAATCGATGGACACGTGATACCTAACCACGTACTCTTCACATCACCGACACCTGACAATGTTCCCTACAAGACCCTCGCGTTCACTGACAACGCCAAGGTCACCGTTAGCTTCCTCAAGCAAAACGATAAAGGTAATTCTATTTCAAAAGTAATTATTTACTAATAACACGTTAACACTAGAACTACCAAGCATTTAAATTGACTTTTCCAAATTTCTTTATAAAACTTGTAATTGTGTATTTATTAACGTGTTCGTGGACAGTAAAAATTTTAATGAGCCGCAAAAATAGAAAAAATGTAAAGATCGTACTCCAAGGGTTAAATTGCACAATAATTTCCCAAAATGAAGGATATATAGTATTAAATTCATGACAATGTGGTTTATAAATTTCAATGTAATAACATTCATGTCGTTTTGCATCCGAATGGAAATGCTGTAGCATTCATGTTCGCGAACATGTTAAGATTTCAATTGGTTTATATTTCAGTGTAGGTATTACCAACTCAGCTTCTTTAACGATTTCTCAGAGAAACATCTGTACTTTCTCAATGATTATATAAAAAGAAATCAAGAATGGGTCATACCGACCCATGTGGTAGTTCAAGTGTTAAAACAGTACTCAGTCAATAATATTAAAAACACTAATGAAACCGATAAAAATTATCCAACGAATTTCAAAGCTACCACTATCATTCGAAAAACCTGAAATATTTGCTGGTAGAGCTAAGAACTCCTCCGACAATTAATTCGCCGTATTATCAGTGGCCATTACTCCTTATCGTCAATCGCAATAAACGAGTGACGTGGCGCCGCGTCGGGAATATAAATGAAAAGTCGGCCGAATCGGGCGTTAAATCATGAAAACGAATTATTTAACGAAGATCTCATCTGCCCCGTTCCGTTCGTGTAATCGATTCCGCTCGACGTTCTTCGCGCAATACATCGTCCGACGTATAATTGAACACGTTATTTTCAGTGTACGTCAAATCCAATACGCTGATGGGAGACGCGAGTCATCCGATGACCGGCGTCGTGCTGGCGGAGATCGTTAAAGCGAACATCCCGGTGCGGAACGGCGTGGTGCACCTGATCCAACGGCCTCTGATGGTCGTCGACACCACCGTGAAGGACTTCCTCGAGGTCAGTGCTTTCGGCTCGTTTTCGTCTCTAGTTTTTCTTCTCTATCTTGTTCCGCGGAGTAGAGACCAGTGCAATCGGGCCCATGAGAAATTGAATGGCTGTGACAATAACGCGACCGTCATGTACTATTCATGCCATCTGATCATCCACCGACAGCAATGACATTTCCCTTTGACATGGTTTCATGCAATATTTCGACGCCAGTCGATCTGCCGCGCCGACCAAATTGGGTTGCCCGGAATGAGCTCGAAAGACTTTTATTACACCGTGCCGATTGATTCCGGTATTGAATGATTGATCGTGTACTGTTTGATTCGTCGATCATCCATCGAGAAAATGGAATAGCACTTTGCTGCGTTATTTCAATATACAATGTAGACCATTGATTTTATCGGTTACGATTTATAATTGAATTATAATAGTAATGTTGATATTAGGAAATCAAATCTTTTAGTTAATTGTACATGAAATATCGTAGCGAGATACTTACAAGCATTTTATCGATGATTCATAGAAGCCCGTGTTGACGGCTGTTGAACTGAAGTTCATCGTTTAAAGATATTGTGTATGGAACAATGGTAGAATTGATATCAGTTTTAATCCGCGTGTTGTGAAGCTATTACGATTACCTTTAGAATACGCTTATTGTGATCGACTGATGAAATTTCGAAGTTCTCGCGAGGGAGAGTATTTACAGGAAGATCTTCGCGCATTCGCGCTCATTGAACTTGTTTTTAATGAAGGTTCCTTGGCGTTTTTTCTTTATTCCCAGAGAATGCGCATAGAAGTTATCCGAGGTGGCAGTTCGCAGTGACTCAATCTGTATTTCCCGCATTGTGCCGGCAGACGCAATAGACGTCTGCGAAGAAATGGCGGCGAGTTTCTCCATTGTCGGCGACGTTATTTCGCGAGTTCCTTTTGATATCTCCATGAAACGCTTTTAAACCGCCTCTGGTCTGAACGCTGGTATTCTCCGTTTCCCCCGTTTCACGCGTCTCTGAATCCCCCGATCACAATAGATCTCGCTTTGTCGATGCAGCCCGCGGCCCGCTCGTCGATGTTCAAACATTAAAAGTTTAATCACCTATCAATAATTCTGTTTCCCAGACGATACGGTCCCGCTTCATTGAAGCCTCCGCTCGTCTCGTTCGGGATTCAAAGCACCCCGTGCGCAATTAAACGCCAGATCGACCGACGCGATACGCGTGCCAGTTATTGTTCCAAGTGTGTTCGTTAATTAATACCCAACACGACAATAAGAATCCACTTGAAAGCACTCTTCACCGCTTTCGCGCAGTGTCTTCATTCCTCTTTCACCACTGAATAAAGAAACAACTAAACAGAGAGCTCACTTTTTTCCATTTCTGTACCATACGAACGATTCGAATTCACTATCGCGTCTGTTCTAATTGAAGATAACCCCGATTTAACCTGTTGATTAATCAAATTAAACTGGACATCACTCTACGATTAGCAATATTTTATTTACGCGAGAACAGAAGATTTCCCGCGAATTATTCAGAGTAAAATAAAAAATTTCCCGCGAATTAGTGATAGCAAAAGTTAGAACTCGGTCGCGAAGAAAATTAGAGGTCGAGGAGTTGACACGTAGACTGCCACGAGAACTTGGAGTGCATTGTATAACGTTACTTATTCCCCTATAGCAAGAACGAGTAATATTATTATCAATTATTAATGACTCGGTATCATACTTTCTATGCTGTACTATTAGGTAATAGTACACTAGGTAGTTACTTAAATTACTAAATATATTTATCCACTATCGGTTCTCTTGCAATTGTTTCTCATTCTATTCAGACGTTAATTAATTTACAATTCAGTGTGCGTATTGCTAAATCAATTTCTTTAATAACATCTCACAGAAACATCTGTCATCTTTGCAATAACTGCAGAAGAAATTAGGAATCCTTTTGACCTATCTGGTAATTTCAGTGTTAACCCTTTGCACTCCTATCTCGAACATGACTCGACATCAGTTTTATTCACAGCTGTGATTCTTCGTCAAGATATTTTTCAAATAGATTACATTATTACATTATTTTCAATATTATCACTAAGAAGAATCGTCTACACTGCTCTCTACAAACTAACTATTTCTTCAAAAGCATTTCAAAGAAAATCTCGAGAAGCTGCAAAAGAAATTCGTAATGCAGTGGGTTAAAATCTCCTGGTCACCAGTTATCACCGTGGCACTCAACGTGTTAACGAAACAAGCGACAAGCCATCCCCTAAATAAGACAGCGAAAGCAGCTAAAGACATTATTGATCGACGGTCGCCGCGCCCGCCATCGGTCTCCGATGGCGTCCAATAACTCCGTCGCCAGCGGGATCCTCAGATCAAGGGAGCAAACTCCGAATCTAGGCGTGTTCCCGAGGGTGGTCGGGCAAAATGGAGGGTAGCAAAGACGTTGGTTCGTCTTCGGAGCTATTAACTCGTTTTTACAGTGTACGAGAGTCGTGGCGCGGGATTGTAATTCAATTTCCCGAAGGAAGCGGAAAGGTACACACGATCTCGTCGAGAGTGACGTCGTTCGCCGGCTGTCGTCGACGCGGCGCGACGGGAAACGAATTACCCGACGAATAAACCGTAACTGTTAATGAAATTGGCTAACCGTCGAGCCTACATAGAACCAGCGGCGCTCGCATTATCGCGCGGGGTCGCGTGGGGGTGAACAGCCGCGACACCAGACCGAGATTAGAATCATTACGATGGGACCGGGGGCGTCACCGCGTCGGCCCGGATAGAATCTTTACGAGCTCGCGCTCTTTTCCCCCGATTCGCGGCTGTTCCGGAAAGCGTGCGCCCTCTTATCTAGTAAACCGGTCCTAATGCGCTGTCGTTGCGCAACTGATGACGTTGGCACGACGTCCGTGGATGTTTTAGTGGATCTGGTATCTGCCTATAAAATTGTTAGCGTACCACGGAAATACGCGTCCCCCTTTGTATCCGTGGTCTGGTCTGGGGATGTTTTCGGAGGTTCTAGCTGCGATTCGGAGAGGACGGGATCAAGGATTCATTGTTTGCATTATTTCTTAGTTTTAGCTTCAATTTAACACCTTGATCTGCGATCTGTTTCTTGGTTATAATAGATACAATGATTTTCTCGTTGGTAATTTATTGAAAGAAGTGAAGAATTCTGGGAATATTCTATATTCACGTTTACTCTAAAGTGTAATTAATAACAGAAGGTTAATATTCAATTCGAACTCACAAGGATCGAGTAACATTAACGCTAGCCGACTTCTTTTCAAAATCACGAGACTGACGCGTTATCACAAGCGGTTAAACATTCAACGTTACGTTAATTAACCCTTTGCACTCTACAAGCGACTCCTAGTCGCCATATAATTTGATACAGGAAAATTATAAATTTTGGTATTTAGCATTAACATTTGTACTGCATCAATACGTGGAATATTGAAAAAATCTACCTTTGTTCCCTAATTTACATGCGATTTCTTAATAAATTTACTTTAAAGAATCTTGCCTTCATCTAACTAGGAAAAATTAAATATTCCAGGCGAAAAACTTTCGAGTGCAAAGGATTGACGTCTATACTTCAGTAAAATTTCGACAACTTTCATCAATCTCCAAATGTACATCTGTACAGGAGATAGCAATATTAATATCGGTTAATGTGATCATACAAGCAACCTTGAAATCTTCCAAACGTTTCTGTTCAATAACCGGAAGCTAGTCTTTACAAGGTAACCAAGACGTATCTTCGATCTAGTTCGGCGATCCTAAAGAATTCGACATTACCCCCGAATACATGCCAGTCTGGCCGTATGCGGAACGTGATGGCTGCTAGATTGATCTCAAGGTGTTCCATTTTCGGCGTGACATGTATTATGAATTCAGTCTGCACGACGCATTACTGCGCGGGGCGGGGAGGGGCCATTAGTATTCGCCGTTCCGATGTGTTCGTGTATGACGAACGTGACGGGTCGCGCGGAACGACGCGAGAGCGGCAACCGTCAAAGGATCTGGTCCACGGTGTAGGTACGATGTAATACAACGCGGACGTGTAATCACTGGCAGTTGTTGCGACGCTCGTGTACACATATTTTGACACATGTTACGGCGGCCACGGAGGCCGCATCGCTCAAACTGAATGGGGTAATCGTTAGTGCGCGAAATTTGATGGACTGTTACCCGAAAATCGTACACGCCGCGACGCGTGCGCTGCGCGCCGCCCATTGTTATCGGGCCGACACGCCACGACGGAATCTTGTTAATCGATCATTCTTCCCGGCCCCGAGCAATATGACCCCGGCTAATCGTTATTTGTTCCATTTTTCAACTTTATCCGGCCGATGGTTTCTTTCGACGATATATTCTGGCCTGTCGCCACTAAAATATTCCATTGTTTCATAAATGTTTCGCTGCTTTCTTTCACTTCTCTCTTCCATCGTGTTCACCGATAGAGAATACACTCGTCTGGTTTCTGGTTTCTTCTCTTTTCCCGTTTATCGGCCGATTCGTGCGTTTTTATAGTGTTCCGTGATATTGGGAACCTGATTCAATTGAATAATAGAAGGAATGTTTCTATTGGAAATAATTGAATAATAAAACAGTATATATTTTACAGTGTGACTTTATTACAACTGCTTTGAGAAACACATTTAGCTCTTTCAAGTTCTCGAATGCGAATGACTCGGAACACCCTCAGTTGGGGTCCGCTTTTCTTTACAAGACCGTTTATGGCCTTGCCTGGACAAAAGTCTCTTGACTTCGCGTGAGAAAATTCAGACACTTCTAGTTGCCTTTCTGTCGCCTTTGTTTAGACTAAAGATGTATAAACGTTGGGCATTTTTGCATTTGATAACTTAGCATTAGTAATTATTCAGTTTCTGTTAACACTGGATCTACGGGACTCGTCCATTTGATGAATATTGAATTTTTTAAACGTAATTTAGTAACAGTTTAACCCTTTCAGTCATGGCGTCCTCATATAAGGGCATACTGAATAAATACTTGGTGTATCTAAATTCGGTAAATTTGATTGTAAACGTTCTCATATTATCGCAACCATAGATTCTATTTGACAATGGTGTCGACCTCTTATCATATTGTGTCATAAAATAAAACTAGAAACGCACATTCAAGTGGACCCAGGAAAATATAATTCGTGACCGAAAGAGTTAATCTGTTGCGCTGGAAAGACGCACGTCGATTTTTGTTTCAGAATTGTCAATGGCGTCTTTTACACATTGATAATCTTGTTGCATTGTGCATATTAGATTGTTTTGAAATATCCCACTCTATAAAAAATGATTAATAAACAAACTTGACGCACATATCGTAAAATAGGTAAAAGCAATATTCTTCGCTAGACCTTGCCAGATCTCTGAATTTATTTCCAGCGCGAGTGGTTAAGTTGATTCTGATTGATGCAATTAAGCGAATGCTCGTTGCGATACTTTGATTTTGGAGCTATTTTCGCGATTTATATAGATGAACACGTGGTTTTCTAGGGATAATAGAATAAAGTATAGAATAAACGTCCGTAAATCTAGTGTTAATGTATATTTTACGAAATTTCGAGGTCGCTTTTGTGTCATTCTGTTTTATAGAAAATTAAGGCAAGTCTTTGACAAAAGATACGATAGAAACGAGGAGACTGTAAACGTTGATACTGGGTGGCGACGAGTAATCCATGGATTCGGTTTTGTTACCTCGGAACCTTTTACGGTTTTTCATTAACGTTTTATTCAAAACGAAGATAATTACGCGTGAAATGAAAGCAGAGACGAGTGGAACGTAAAAGACAATTTTAGCGCGTTGCATTTGAAATGATAATCGAGAGAGTTTCAATAAATTCGATTACACGCGCAATTAAAATATCCGCTCGTGATTTATTCAGCGTTATTTCCCCGGTATATTTTTCCCCTCCTTTCTCGCCGGTCCGTCTACATCCGGCACAATTTTTTAATTACACAGATTACAGGACAAGCTAAAGCAAGTTGAAATAGCTTCCTTTATGACTACCAAAGGCCGCGGAATTAGTTCTCTGCCCAGTTAATTACGCGACCGCTGCAATTACATTCGAACAAAGTTCTTCCTTTGACTTCCTCGTCAGACCCAGTTGCCGGCATCATGAAACCTGTTAATACTAATTTCATTTGAAATTACGCGACATTAATCTTATAATACAAACAGACGCCCGCCACTTCGGAACAAACTGGTTTCATTTTAATCCTCGATAGATTACACGCAGGAGAACGCGTGAAACGTATAAAATGGTTCGTTACGGTTATACCATTTCTAAGATATAATCATACCTTCTCATTTCAGCCTTTCGTCGTAATATTCCAGAAACGCACCGAATAGAATCAAAATATAAGCTGAAAAGTCTTTCGAGCTCGACCCTATTAAAATCTACCGATACCTTCAATCTTGTATCCAGAGATTGATGTTAATTATCGACACACGAATCGCATCAATTTCAATACTTTTCATTAACATACTTCATTCGCTCAGTCGATATTGGAAACAGATTCTTGACAGGAACGAACGTGTTCCCTTGAGAAACTCGGTAAAAGTATTCATTTTTCCTTATTTTGGAAACTTGAAAACACGTCGATGAATATTTTTGGATACGTCGAAATTCGATGTTAACTGTTCCCATGGAAATTCGACAAGAATATCCAATAGTTTCCCTGGACAAGGAATGAATATCCAATTCCACCGTTTGACTGTCGTCGTTCCGGCATCGATTGCTCATACACATTCGTTTCCCGATAGAAATCACGTATCGATCGTCATCTCAGCCGCGGCGAACTGTCACGCGTGATCGTAACACGTGTCATGTACGACATATATGGATGTATTTTGTGACGTATGTATATCATATGTATATATAGACCGACAACGTGCGTATATTATATGATATACATACATGTATATATACAAAACGTTTTACACAGGACAGCAATGGAATGTTCACCAGACAGCTGTCGTCACATGCGATATATCGATTGTTCTTCAGCAATGATCCTCGGCACGTCTCGCCTACTGTCTGCACCAAATCCTCTCGGGCCGGACGTTGGATCAAAGGAGCTTCCATCGAGATCCCAGTTTCCCTATACGTTCGACATCTCGCCGCGTTCTTTGATCCAATCACGGCCCGTTTTGTGTTGTATATCTGTTCCACGAAGCCTCCTGAAATGATCATATTTTTAACATTTAGGGCGTCGCATTTCTAATTATGATCATTGATTTTAAAAAGCTTCAGATCTACGGTGAGGATCGAGTCAGTTTCAGACTTTGTACAATTAATAGAAATAATTGTTACTATCATTTGTAATCTGCATATTCGACTTAATATTATAATTAGCATTCGAAGCAGCAATATTTACAATTCGAATCTTAGTGGATTCAGATTATATTCATCTGATGTAAAGTTTCAACGTATTTCTCAATAACTGGTCGATAAAAGCTTTCATGAAGGAAT